GTCACCGTGGAAAAATACCAGCTTAACTGATTATTGAACAGCCCTCAGCATACATAAGCATTATGGTTTTCCTAATCTTTCTGAATGTTGGTACATTCACAATAGTCGTTTTCTGGGCCGAGAGAGAGAGGGAGAGAGAGAGCAAATTAACCCTTAATTGGCACTTCAAAAGAAGTTCGCACTGTAGCATCTACATGTAAAGCATCATTTTATGAGTAAAAACAAAATTGCCATTATTGTCCCCATCCTCCTGTTTCAGCCTCCTGTTGGACTTCTTCTACGTGACCACTTTGATCCTAGATAGGTTTGTCTGATTTTTTTCTTTAGAATAAGCATAAAATTACCTAGAACTAAGATACTACTCTACGCACTTGAGATATCAAGGTAGATGTAGACATATTTCACAGAACAGGTTGTTCATTTTAAAAATGTATATGTTTGTAATGACTGGGTCAATTTTTCTCGGTCCCGAAAAAAAAAAAACGGCTGATTTTCAAATGCCAGTCAAGGTGCTTACCAAATTTTATGTCGTTGAAACAGAGAAGAAGTCTCATGTTTACATTAAAAGAGAGAGAGAGACTGGGAGAGACAGGATAGGATTGGAGAGATGAGGAGAGAAAGAAAGAGAGAGAGAGGGGATGAGGGAAGAAGCATCAATTTAATTATTGCTTGAGAGAGCTGGAAAAAGTGAGAAATTACCTACATAGATGCAGGAAAAATTATTTTTAATTAATCATGTTATTTACAAGTGAGAGAGACAGAGAGAGTTTGCAAATACATTAGAAAGCCCCATACTGTACCTCTAAAACATCAATCTATCTGCGGCCTCTTACTGGTATTTCTTCGAAAAAGTTCATAAAGAAAGTCTTCCGCACACAGCAGATACAAAATACGTTCTTGGGTTTCCAAGCGCAGAGCGTTCTTGATGATGAAGTCGGATCTTTTTACATTTTAAGTCTTCAAAAGTGACATTATTTGAGCTGCGTTAAGATGTTCCTCTAAGAAAGTAACACGGCGTCTCTCTAAAGAAGTCAGGTGATGTTGTTGACATTGTGAGTCATAAAAATATTTCAGTTTCGCGTTGTCACCTGGTACTCAAGCTCCTTATTTCCAATAAAGATTTCTTTGATCCCTGTGGGCTACCATAGCGTTTTTTACTACCAATTTGCTCCTTACCAACTTTTCAATAATTAAAGTTCGGCGACTTCTAGCACTTATTGGAATAAGTATTGCATTTCAACTTCACCTTTATATGTAGAGATAGCACACATATACAGAGGGTCGCTATGGCGACTAATAATGATTGATTACCAGCGACCTAACGCAGGTTCTTATCTGGACAAATATTGCGGTTAGATTGTTTGATTGAAGCTGGGTGTTAAAACTATTTCATACCCATAATAAACATTATTTAGCCAGACTCGAAACAAAAACTAGACAGCGCTACATGTATGGCGTGCATTAAATGCTTTTTTTTTCCGTAGAATCTCTGCGGCTGTATGCTGACGACTGTCTAGCCATGCCAACCCTAGGGTTGTAACCTGTGGGGTATGAGGTATGTTGTTTCTGTGTGATGAGCCCCCGGGAATACCATCGGTGTGATGTAAACAGAAGAGCACAGAAGTGAAATTTTATTTTAAACAAATGTCCAGTTTGGGAAATTTGGGTCAGACAAGTGATCTATTAGCAAGTTACCTGCGTTTGCTATAGGGAAGTTGGAATTTTAAGTTAAAACTTTAGTGATCCAACAAACAGAAACCACCTGTAACTGGTCAATGCGTTGTGAAGGTGGTCAGTTCTCATGTGATTTGTTGGTATATAGCATGATCACTACACAGTAGATCTATAAAAAACTTTATGGGTTATTTTTCTTATTAATTTATTATTTTATTTTTACACTTATTTATTTATTCACAGGGAAGATGGATTTATCACGTTTTTTTCTCAAATGTCTCATACAAGTATCATCAGGGATCCATTGTAAAATATATTGACAATACTTATAAAAATCAGGAACCATTATTTTTACTCCCAGGTATGACCACATTAATACATTAATGCTACATTTGCTTGTAGTTGTGACACTGCAATGAGCGCGTTAAGGACTGCACGGACGTTTGACTTGCCATGACTTGAAGATCACTGAACCAAACACATTGCTAATAATATCTCTTGATAAAAGACAATGCTTCATCATGTAATGAAAATTTTAACTATCATGTGTATTATCATTTTAAGTTCATAAATCATGATGTGATTGTTGGAAATTTATGCTCCTCTGCATTGATTTAATATATTTGTGATCAGTGTACCATGTCTATAGAGGATAATGAGCATACTTTAGTTTTCATTCATAGGTAATTGCTTACCAAGATATTATATGTAGATATTACATGTAGCCAAAGGCTATATTACATCAGTACTTACCTGGAGAACATGTCATTCTCTATATGCACACTGTGTATATAGTGAATCACTCAGACACGTGCTGGATTTCACCCTGTTAGGAGGTGTGCAGGACTTTTTATACCTGAGGTGACTTTCATTTATTTACATATATCAGTGTTTCATAATCTAGTTATTTGTTGTGTATTTCATATTTTTCCATTTATTATATTATTGAGTTTACTAATAGTTTGTTTGTGTGCATTTCAGCCTTCATTGTTTCCGGTTAATAAAGATTGGAAATCAAATAGTGTCTCTTATCCAGTCTATGGACATTTTAGTATTAATAAGTTCCGGCGGGAATCGGCGACGTTCACACCCTCCCTCTCTCGTCCCCCTGGGTGAGAATAACATCGGCCTCTTTGTTTTTCAGTGCGTTCACCTTACGCCTTTTCTACCTTTTTCTATACAAATCACACAGACCGTTATTGTATTCCTAGTGACAAGATAACATAAAAATCATTACTTAGAACTTCTTACTTATATACATGTAACAAGCCTTGGTGGCTATTCTAAATAGGATTGAGTTTTCTAAATATATATACCACACACATTTAAGCCAGACCTTTTCTTTTAAAAGTCTTATTGTCCTCTGCAAAACTCCACGTGCGGTTGATATTCACATTGCGGTTCGAACACAATTATAATAGATCTTTAACAGGTGGGTGAGTAACATGTGGTATAGAACTTGATTTGTATAAGATAAGCTGGTTGTCCAAATTGGCTGAGTGAATAGTCTTTTTACGCTGGTTTATATTTTAATATTATTTAATATAATTTAGACTAGAGGCGCNTGAGTAACATGTGGTATAGAACTTGATTTGTATAAGATAAGCTGGTTGTCCAAATTGGCTGAGTGAATAGTCTTTTTACGCTGGTTTATATTTTAATATTATTTAATATAATTTAGACTAGAGGCGCATTCCCATAGATTTAGATCGATCTATCCCCGTGGGGAGTCTCACTAAATTACTGTCAGATAATCCGGCTTAAATGTCCGTCCCGCCTACTACAAGCTGTAAGGGGGTAATTAACTTTCGTGCCTGCTCGGCTGACAGCGTGAACCCCCAGGGAGTTAGGTCGATCTAGTTGGATCGATCTAATCTCTGGGAAAGGGGTCTAGCACGCTGGACTCAGACGCAAACGGTCCATCTTTTATCATAAAAAAAAAACGAAACAGATTCACTCAAACCTATATTCACTGCTTGGGAGGTCAATATAAGCTGATATTGACCTGCACGTGACGCTCCCAACCAATCAGTGGGCGACAAAATTTGTGATCGTGTATCAATATTAAATCATTTATCACTCCCAGGTTGCAGTTCAAATTTAATGTCCTTTGTTTCGAAGCCAGTAATCTGTTAGAAATTGATTACATCTTGGACATAATAAGAGAAGGCCTTTCCTTTTTTATGTCCAAGCCCCCAATAAGTACATGTAATCTTGGACATAAAAAGGAATTGGGGATGACCACCATGAGGGGGTGGACTTGTGTCTTAATTAACATAACAGTATTTATTTCGCATCATTTCGGTTGCAGAGCAACAATGCAATTACACACTGCGTCTCTCAGTTTACGAGCCGTAAAATCGGCTACTTGTATAGCAAAAATTCAAAACCGTATGCTCAGGCGATGCAGAGATGTGGAGACCTTTTTACCAGAATCATGCTTCATTGACAGAATAGGACCAGCCAAAACAGTACTACCCAATGGAATCGCTGCATATTACAAAATGGAGCAGTGAATCAGACAAAGTACTCGGTAAACTGGAACTGACACACATGACTGCACATTTCTCGATCTTTTCACATGTTCCATATTACTTGAAGTATAATTTTAAAAAGACAATGCATTCACTTACTCATATCCTTTAAGTTTGAATATACTATTAATAACCATTACAATACACTATTATGTAATGTAATGTAATGTAACATTACAGTATTAAATATGCTATACGAACAAATGATGTCACGTGGAGAAAGTAGGGAAAGACAAAGAAGAAAATGTTGGGGAGTTGTACACAGCGAAAGGAATATTGTAAGTTGACAGGGTGTAAAGATTGATCATCCCATTAAGCGGGGCATATGAAAATACTGGCTTTAAAGACACCGAGACCTTTCGTGTCTTATTTAATGAAATACATAAATGTTCTAATGCGTATATGCAACAATTATAGTGGTGTTGTACCCATGTTTAAATGGAAATTTTAAATCTGGTGTGTCGAGTTTTATACCTTCAAGTTGTATTGTGTGTGTGTTTTAAAATGTATATCTATTTTTTTTAATATTCTTGATAAGCGTCGTAGTTACTTGGGAGGCCTGACGTTTTGGTGCAACATAAATCTTACAAACCAGTTTCAACACAAAGTAAAATAAACATCTATCCGACACCATAACAGAAAGTATATTATTTGAAACAAATGTACATAACTACTACTTAAATCTGGTGTATTGGCAACTTAAGAATTCATTTATCATCTAAATCTCGTAACTTGTTAGAATTATATTGAAGTAAATTATGTTTTAAAGATTTACATGCATACTATGCCTACCACTAAATGCTTCCCGTTCCTGAAAATAATGCCCAATATTGCCTCTGCGGAAAAGTAACGTCAGTAAAAACAGCAGAAATACAGTCACGATTATTGTCCAAATATCTATGCCGAACTCCATGCTGAATATTGTCTTCTCGTCTAGATTAGTTTTAAACCTGAAACGACAAAATTGTTTTCGTTTATATTTAAATGTGACAACATGAAAATAAACAGATGAAGAAGGCTTATTCTTTTTAAACAGAAATTGTTTATGTATTCAGTCTTTTATATGCAGACACAGTGTGCATGTACATCTACACTTATCCATCACCTGCGTCTGTTATCGTCGCTATCAGTTATTGTTATAGATATCGTACATTTTTCACACTTAACGCAATAAGCGGTTAACAAATTGATTTCTTTTCCTCAAACTTTCATAGGTGTGGCTATTTTTGTCATTCACATTAAAAAGTTTGAGAAAAACGCGCGTTTTTAACCTTCAAGATTCGGTCAAAACCGATGGAGAGGCCTCTTGTGACCTGTTGGCTTCCAAATTTTGCGAAGAACCTCAAGCGCGGAGCAAGTCCTTACGAAATTCGAGTCAGCATACAACCCGTAAGCTTACACGGAGGATACTGGACATGTCCAGAAACTCTTCGAATAAACTGTTAATAGCCAGACCGCAAGTGAAACCTGTTCCCCTCGCACCGAGTTTACAACGGGTTTACAAGTGAGAAGAAAAAGTGTGATCTAAAGCCTCGGTCACAACTGGCCGTACGGTCTCTTACGGCCTGTTTGCGTCCAAATTTTGCGCAGAATCTCACGTCCCACGCAGGTCCTTTTTACAAAATTTCGAGTTTGCAAACAGCCTGTAAGCACATACAGAGGATGTTGGATATGTCCAAAAGATTCTACGAATAGCCTGCGAGCAGGGAGGCCACAAGCGTAACTTGCTGTCCTCGTACGGAGTTAGCAAGTGAGACGTGCTGTGACGATGTAGTGTGTTAGTTGAGATTGTTTTATATTGCTACCGGTAGAAGTCTCTATAAGTAGAGTATAGTCCGGTGTGCAAGTTTGAATCTCTCCTGTGATTGGTTATTTAAAGGTTAAACTGTTCATTGTATAATGGGTTCTGATTGGTAAACGTGTACTATCTGAACATGTATAAAATGTGTGAATTGAAATAAATCGACCTGTTTTGGCCCTTTTGGGCTTCAGATATTCTAGCTCTCTCTGTCATTGATGCTTACACCAGTAAGTACATTGTTCTTTGTACCACACGTCGCAAGCAATGGAGCAAGTGACCTTTGCGTGTTGAGTAAGGCGCACGCCCTCACAACCAAGGAGTTATAACATCTGTTGTAACTCCTTGTCACAAGTAACGAACAAAGTCGAGAGCACACCGGGTATGCGTCACCCCCACGCCTGGTGTATAAAAGGCGTGCTCACGGCGCAAGCTCGTCTCTTTACAATGGACTTCGACTGTGTAACATGTGGAACAATTTTCAAAATTTTTGCTCAATTTAGTTTCTAATATGCCTCTAAAAGACAAGAGAAAGAAGCTTAGATAGCAAAAAAAAAAAAAATTACATTTAAATATACATACCTAATTATGTATATATACGCTGTCGCCCAGCCGAATAGGCTGAAATGCCTACATTCAAAGAGAAGAAAGGGGGCGTATGGCAGCTAGCTGAAGCGCTGCCCACAGAATATACAGTACTTTATCATTTACCTTTTAATTGAATGAAATACCGAATTTTCGTACCAAGGGGGTACTATAAAGGCAGTTGCGCACCCAAGAGTTTAATAAGTTTTGTATGATATCAAAATTGTCACCGATGGACACAACAAAATCAGGTGATGTTGTCAATAACCAGGACGGATCTAACGTCTAGGCAGCACTTCTCCGAAGTTGTCACCTGATCGATGCAGCAAAGTTAGGTTAAGTTGTAAACTACCAGGACGGCAACAGGGGCTAGGCCGTACAAGCAGGGATCATATGATATCAGTAACAGACTGTGGCTGCTTATTATTTTTTCTTTGTTTTAATTCACCATAGATCTACCTGCGTTTCCTTTTGTCTGGAACCTGAATTCATACATTCAAAGCATAATTTGCTATTTCACAGGAATTTCATATTTTGGGGCGAATTTATGTGTGCAACCTCAACCTCCCCTCCCCCCCCCCCAAAAAAAAAACAAGAAAAAAAAAACAAGTTAATAACAATTTAGAGTCTTTTTAACGTCAATCACCGTAGTGTTCAAACACCAATATTAAGATTTCGCGAAGTAGAAATGTTTAGATTAACGTGGACTAAGTAAGCTATTTTTCAACTTTTTCATAGTGACAACATGTATTAATCAATAATAAAAACCAGTTATTTTTTGCACTCCGATATGTTGAAGTGCTCGTCGTGTCTCTTTCACTTGGTATTCAGCTTCTTGCACACCTCAGGCAGAAGTAACACTCAAGTCATTAGCCAAACTGACACGGTCTGGGCATAATGGATACCATGCTGACGTCTCCTGCCGTGTTCAAGGTCCTTTTTGTGTGTTTAGTTAAAAAACGTATTTTAAATCAATTGCTCAAAACCATATTTTTTTGCATGATATTAAATTAAAATGCATGGTTTTATATGCCATTATATATATATATATATATATATATATATATATATATATATATATATATATATATATAAGCTGTTGGACTGCGGACTATATAATTTAGCCGTATAGGCTGAAATGTCTATATTTAAAGAGAAGAAAACGGGCGTATGGCAGCTAGCTGTAGTACTGCTAACAGAATATAATGTATCATTTATCTTAAAATTGAATGAAATGTAAATTTTTATACCAATTGACCTAACTGATTTTACCGGCAGAAGTATAGGCACAGCGCACCACCTCTCCTTAGTCCACGGCTCCCACGCTGCCAGCTGCTATCTATGCTGTTGTGTACACAAGTTCAATACAGGTTATCTAAAGTTCTTCGAAATTGTCACCCGATCGAAGCAGCAAAATTAAGTGTTTTAAACAACCAGGATCTAGACTGTATTTGCAGAGAACCTGATATCAGTGATAAACTGTGACAGCTGGTAGTCTAGATTCTTGCGAGGGGAGGTGGACTACAAATCAATGTCAATATCTTTTTTTCTTTATTTTGGGCGGGTTGCCGTACAATTTAGAGTACGTTCAAAGTTTTAACGTCAATCACCCTAGTTCCCCACTTGGGATTTTTCGTCCTACGGACATTGAATCCTTGTAATTCTTCAAACGCGAATTATAAGATTTCACGAGGCAGAAATGTTCCGATTAACAAGGACTAAGAACAACCCCCGGAGCTCTTACCTTGGAGACCTTGAAATATCCCACAAGACTCAAGACTCAACTAAAGCAAATTGGGTTCTAAGATGAACCTCTGTTAATATCAGAGCGTATTCTATTTGGTATTTTCCTGCAAAATCAAAATTTCTAAATTTCAAATTTTAAATGCGGATATCCCGGTATGCCTTTAAGTTATGGTGTTTGATGTCACATTCACATAGTGGGCTGCGCCACTTTTATACTTGTTCTTCATTAAGGTAACGGGCAGGTTAGACAAATACACCTAAATAACTATCTTTACGTACATACAATGTATATAGGATTATATCTAAATCTTCAGTGTTTTTACTGATAACCTCATTTGCAATTACACGCATGTCACTTTACCAATGATGTCATAACTGCAGTTTGGAGATAGACATTTCAAAATAGGTTTCTCAAATCTCTCATTTACCTGAGCACCCACGAACACCGTTTCCACACCAATTTAATGACACCATACATGTACATTGAGTAGTTTCAATACATGCCAGCAATTTATCTTAAAAGCTTTAGTTCAGCATTTATCGTTAACAAGACTAAATACTTTGACTACACTAAAGTATATAGAAAAATCGGCAAGTTACTAACTTATTAAATTTCAATTTTAGGTTTTCAATGTTTCAAGTATTCCATCAGCAGTTTTTTTTTTTTTTTTTGTAACTTAGTCATAGTTAAATAATGAAATATTGATTAAAACAGATCAATTTTTGCTCTCCCGATGAATGAAGAAATATCGTTTGGTGGATCCATAGGACCATACTCTGTGTAAAAATACGTATGGGTGGTAACTAACATCGGCCATCTTGTTGTATTTATACCCAGGGCAATCTGAAATCTTATAATTTACTTTTACTGCGGCATATCATGAACGCTTCAGGCAAACGTGTGAACCCATGTACTGATGTTGATATCACGGTGATTTGTCTGCTGACCTCACTGAGGTTATCTTTGAACATGCAGGTCTGATAAATATGTTTTAAATTCATAGCTCGTAACTAAAAAATATTTTCCATTAGATTGTGCATGATGTAATGTAGTTCTTTGACAATCTTACAAACGTGATTTAACGTGTAATTGTTTACATATAATTATAGATACTCCGTTGGATCGCAGACTGTCTGATTCAGGATTGTAGCCTTAAATGTTTATATTCAAGGAAAAAGAAAGGTGGAGATATGTGGCAGCTAGCTAAAATTCTGCTAACGGAACATTTTCACCATTTATTTTTGCATTGTTTAAAACCCTATGTAGTTGTAGCAGGGGCGCTTGCTGATTTTAGCGACAGAACTGGGCACAGAGGAGAAAGGGGGGAGACATGTGGCAGCTAACTAAAATGCTGCTAACAGAGAATTGAGGAAAGGAGGAGGTAAAATAACACACACACACACATACTCTCACTGACTGCCACACTCTACAGGTACAGGTACGTCTGCTATCTTGCAGTTGTGCACAGTCACAGTTAGTGTAATAGGTTATATATTACTTAAAAATTTTCAAGCAGCAAAATCAGGTGATGTTGTCAATAAACAGGACCTTCATGTAAGTCAAGGCTGTACAAACAGGGGCATGTAATCTCAGTAACCAGACTGTTATTCATGTAGTTGATATTCTAGCCACGTTCGGTTGTAAATGAGATCGGTCAAAAAGCTAAAAGAATACTTGAAATATTGTAAGAAACGCACAGTCCTGAGAATGATTCAATATTTTTCTCTAGAGACTGCTTGTGCAAGTAATATTCAACGTCAGTTAGGTTAAGCCCCCTTTACACTGGACGGCGTCCCTTCTGCGTCCAGCAGTTCGGCCCCATTTGAGAGTTAAAGAATTATAATACTTTACGTGCCGACAACTGGCCGATCATTGAGCATTCATTCTTATACCAAATCAATGCTCGTGCCTCCTTATTAAGACCACAGCGATGCCAAATTTCATAGTCGCAGAAAGGACGCAGAAAGGACGCCGTCCAGTGTAAAGGGGGTATTACTGAGATAAAAGAACCAGTTTCAACCAGATATGGGAACCTCAAGGTCACCTTGGAAGGAAACCAGTTTAACTGATTATTGAACATCTCTCAGTTTCACTGACAAAGTACACATAAGCATTATAGTTTTTAATACTAATATTTCTGAAAATTGGTACATTCATAATTCTCGTTTTCTGGGCCGAGAGAGAGAGAGAGAGAGAAAGAGAGCAAATTAACCCTTAATTCGCAATCATCATCATTAAGACCATCCTTAGCTTTGAACGTGTAAAAACTAACTCCCCATTATTGTTCCCATCCCTGTATTTGTTTCTGCCTCCTTTTAGACTTCTTCTACGTGACAACTTTAAGCCTAAATAGTTTTGACTGATTTTTCCTTCAAAATACGCATACATGAACTAGAACTCCATTGTAAAATATCACACTTAGCATTTGAGATATCAAAGTACAATGTAGATATAGGGGTATACACGAAACAGGTCGTTCATTTAAATGTATATGCATGTACAGTGATCGACTGAGTCCATTTTTCTCGAAAAGAACCCTCTTAAAGATGGCGGATATTTAAATACATGTCAGGCTGCTAACCAAATTTTATGTTGTCGAAAAAGAGTAGAAGTCTTTGTGATAGTAGTTAGAATAATATTCATGCATTTTCATTAAAAGAAGTGGAGAGAGATAGACTGGAGGAAAGAGGATAGGAGAGGAGGAATAGAGAGAGAGAGAGATACTGGAGGAAACAGGATAGGAGAGGAGGAATGGAAAAGAGAGAGACTGGAGGAAACAGGATAGGACAGAAGGAATGGAGAGAGAGAGAGAGACTGGAGGAAACAGGATAGGAAAGGAGAGAGAGAGAGAGTTTGTAAATAGTAAGCCCCATACTGTACCTCTAAGATTCAATCTTTCTGCGGTCTTTTACGAATATTTCTTCAAAAAAGTTCATTAGAGAAGTCTTCTTCACTCAGCAAATAAAAATACATCATTGGTTTTCCAAGCGCAGTGAGCTCTTGCACAAAAAAGTTTTGTTAGATTTTTTCCACGATGAAGTCGGGGTTGGTTCTCCTTTGCATTGCACACTCTAATTCATGTCACAAGTTTAATATTAGGGCTCAAAGATGGTGGTTCCATCCTAAGAGCATTGCGTTTCTTCAAAAAACACTTTCCTGGCGAAAGGTACGAGCAAGTGTGCAGTCATGATGAAACCTGGAGTTAACCCCAAAGTCAGTTCTTGAAGATGGAATGAGATATCAGCTGAGAATGCTACGTTCAGTGATCCCACAGGCACCTGAACCTGACCATCAATCACTGGAAGGAAGTCGGTTTTGATGCAGAATCAAATTATTTCTTGTATCCCATCGATGGTCAAATGAAGGTCCGTAGACATGTTAAAAATGCCTCTTGAAAGGGTGTGTGAAGGATAATATCGCTTGAGGTGTTAGATCAGTCCGCATTTGGAGAACATTCCAAGCCCATGGTATTAGTACATTGTTCCTTTCGGAACAAAACGTAACAGGGGCATTTTAATGTAACATTATCAACAGAAATCTCACTCCATTTGCAAGAGGTGACTTCAGGGATGCTACTGGCTTCATTGTGACAACGCACTTGCTCACAGCTCTCGTCTGGCAAGCGAATTGTTGCAGAAACACAGAGCTCTGAGGACGGGAAAACCGTCTTTGAGACCTGATACTAATCCTACTGAGCACCAGTGGCATTAATTGTAATGTGCATTACAGAGGAGAACCAATTCCCAAATAATCTTGACCAATTCCGCCACGCTCTTTAGGATGGATGGGACAACATCCCACATAACAGAATTGTTACCCGTGTTGAAGGCTTGTCGCGCAGTCTACCGGAGATAATTGCAGTACGCGGTAGACGCACACGCTGTTAGGCACGTGATCTTTAACGAGCACATCCTAATACTAATTGTGTGTGAATTTGGTGACATTTGATGGCGTCTTTTCAATTTTATAGACATTTCTTTATATCTGTCGAAGTCACAGTGAAACAGTCGATTTGAGGGGGTACCTCTTATAAATTTTGCTAAATAGTATAAAATGTGTATATTTTCACCACTATTTTGTATTTTTAAAACCACTAATCATGTCAGACACTGTATCCGTAATGAAAAAGCACTATTTCTAACAGTTCACAGCTGTGAGGTGATCATTTGTAAATAAAAGTACATGGAAATGGGGGTGGGACAACCTTGTTGACCAATGTTGTATATTCAAAGGGAAGATAGGGGGCGTATGGCAGCTAGCTGAAGCGCTGCCCACAGAATATACAGTACTTTATCATTTATCTTTTAATTGAATGAAATACCAAATTTTCGTAACAAGGGACCTAAATGATTTTACAACCAGAGGAAGGCTCAGCGCCCCCCCCCCCCCTTCTCGCCGGGGCTGACACACTCCACCAGCTATTGGTACTATAAAGGCAGTTTCGCGCACAAGAGTTTAATAAGTTATGTATGACTTCAAAATTGTCACCGATGGACACAGCAAAATCAGGTGATGTCGTCAATAACCAGGACGCATCTAAAGTCTAGGTTGTACTTGTTTAATGTAGGTTATCTCAAGTTCTTCGAAATTGTCAACTGATCGAGGCAGCAAAATTAGGCTAAGGGTTAGAACTTAATATCATTTTAGGGTTAAAACTTAATATCATTTTAGGGTTAAAACTTAATATCATTTATAAAACAAAAAAATAGTGTTATTCTGTTGTAAATGATTTAATGACATGGTAAACTTTACAGTGGATCAAGCTGAATAGGACTGTTTCACAAGAGGACGTTGAATGACAGTAGCGAAACAGTTTTTAACCTTGCTATTTACATGCGGACTTAGGTCCTGAATATCGAAAACATCACCTGATTTTGCTGACTGACAGTTCTGAAGTACTGGTAATAGATAACTTATAAAACTAAGTGTAGCTGTGCACAATTGCATTGATAGCAGAAGTAAAGTGTCTGCTTAATTGATATAATGGTATGGTACATTTTACACTGAATCAAGCTGGAGGGGGAGACAAGAATGAAACAATTATTAACCTTGATAATTACATGCGGACACACGGGTTTCCATCACACATAAAAGACAAACACAATCAAGACAATGAAATGATGACTGTTGTCTATTAAAGTTTAGGCTTACAACGGAAACATAAGTAGAAAATGTAAATTTAAATGTTAAACGTCGTACACTGTATGTTTGTATTTCACTCTACTTCTGCTACATATATCAGCGCAGTTGTACACAGTGACACTTAGTTTAATAAGTTATCTATTACTCCAAAATTATCACGCAGCAAAATCAGGTGATGTTGTTAATAATCAGGACTTAAGTCTAAGCTGTACTAATAGGGGCTTGCAATATCAGTAACAAACTGTAATTCGTGTAGGTGTCAGCTACGTGTCAGCTTTAAGTCTTATTAGTTTTGTCTTTTTTGTTCAAAATAAACATACAAAGGATTGAAAAAAATACCACTCTTTGCATTTGCTGTAACCAAATAGATTTTAGGAATGTTACACAAAACAGATCGTTAATTCAAATGTATATGTTGACAGAGAAGAGAAGAAGGTATTGTGATGGTAGTTAAGAGTAAGACCCATGCTGTGCCTCTAATACCTGTATATCAAGAGAGCGAGGGAGGGAGAGGCTGGGGGAGAGAGGGGAGGGGCGAGGGGGAGAGAAAGGAGAGAGAGAAGGGGATGAGGGAAGCATATACTTTTCAATCTTATTATTGGTTGAGAGAGCTGGAAAAAAGGGACAAATAAACACATAGGAAGCATTTAACTTTGAATTCACCATGTTGTTTACATGCACAAGACTGAGAAAGAGGTGCATGTCTAGTATATAGGAGAGAGAGAGAGAGTTTGCAAATAGTAAGCCTCAAACTGTACCTCTAAGACATCAATCTATCTTCAGTCTTTTACAGTATTTCTTCAGAAAAGTTCATTAAAGTCTTCTACACTGAGCAGATAAAATACATCATTTGTATTCCATGCCCAGTGACTTCTTGCACAAAGACGTTTAGTCAGATTTTTCCATCACGAAGATGAGTCCTTTTACATTTTAAGTCTTCAAAAGTGACATTCATTAAGCTGCGTTAAGATTTTCTTCTAATGGAGTAATAAATGGCATCTCTCAAATGTTGTCAGGTGATGTTGACATTATGAATCCTTAAAATGCTTTTCGTGTCGCGTAGTCATCTGGTACTGAAGCTCCTTATTTCCAAAAAAAAAAAAAACATTGCTTTTATCGCAAAATAGTCTCTACAATTGCCTTTGCAGCAAGTGATGTCCACTTTGATCTGTTCTTTTTCAAACTTTTCAATCATCAAAGTTCGATGACTTCAAACAATGTTTTGTATGTGTACAGCATCTCGACTCCACCTTCAAATGATGAGACTGCGCACAGAAGCTCCTTATATTATGGCGAATGATAACATGGGTGCTGACCTCTAATACAGGCTCTTATCTGAATAAATATTGCGGTGTATATGGATGACGCACTGACTATGAATCAGATAGAACGGACTGAAGCCGGATGTTATCTATTTAATATCCACGATGTATTGTTAATTATTCCACCGAACTCGAAATAAAAACTAGACTTTTATGTGTATGACAGCTCTACATGTATGACAGACATAATTTTTTCTCCATAGAGTAAAATTGGTGTGATACATGTATACATGAAGAGCGCAGAAAGAGAGATTTTACTTTAAAAATAATGTCCAATTTAGGACATTTAGGTCGGACAGGTGATCTCGTAGTAATTAAGTCATCTGCTTTTGCTAGATGGAAGTTGGACTTAACTCTGGCGGTTCGACAAACAGAAACCACCTGTGACTGGACAATGCGTTGTGAACGTGGCCAGTTTTCATGTGATTTTTAGTCATAAGCATGTTCGGTTCACAGTGAATCTATTAAAAACAAACTTTGTGGTTATTTTTCTTCTTTTTTTATTATTTTATTCTTATATTTATTTATATACAGGAAATTCGGATTTATCACGTTTTTTTTTCAAATGCCTCATACCCCTGTACAAGTGTCATTAGGGATCAATTGTAAATTATATTGACAATACTTATAAAAATCAGGAACCATTATTTTTACTCCCAGGTATGACCACATATATACATTAATACAAATCATTATTTGCTTCGAGCTGTGACAATGCAATCAGCGTATTAAGGACTGCAAGGACGTTTGACTTGCCATGACTTGAAGATCACTGTAGCAAAAACATTGCCAATACATGTAATATTAATAAGATAAACAGAATGCTTCGATCATAATGCAATGAAAATTATAACTATCATGTGTACTATCATTTTAAGTTCATATATCATGATGTGATTGTTGTTGGAAAATATGTGCCTCTGCATTGGTTTAATATATTTGTGATCATTGTACCATGAACATTTAGTTCCGGCGGGAATCGGCGACGTTCACACCCTCCCTCTCTCGTCCCCCTGGGTGAGAATAACATCGGCCTCTTTGTTTTTCAGTGCGTTCACCTTACGCCTTTTCTACCTTTTTCTATACAAATCACACGGACCGTTTCTGTACTCCTTGTGACAAGATAACATAAAAATAATTACTTAGAAGTTCTTACTTATATACATGTAACAAACCTTGGTGGATAATCTAAATAGGATTGAGTTTTCTAGATATATATACCACACACATTTAAACCAGACCTTTTCTCTTAGAAGTCATATTGTTCTCTGCAAAACTCCACGTGCGGTAGATATTCACAATTATAATAGATCTTTCACAGGTGGGTGAGTAACATGTGGTACATGTATAGAACTTGATTTGTATAAGATAAGCTGGTTGTTCAAATTGGCTGAGTGAATATTTTTTTTTTACGCTCGTTTATATTTTAATATCATTTCATATAATTTAGACTAGCACGCTGGACTCAGACGCAAACGGTCCATCCTTTATCATAAAAAAACGAAACAGATTCACTCAAGCCTATATTCACTGATTGGGAGGTCAATATAAGCTGATATAGATCTGCATATGACGCTCCCGAGCAATCAGTGGGCGACAAAATTTGTGATCGTGTAATAATATTAAATCATTTATCACTCCCAGGTTGCAATTCAAATTTAATGTCCTTTGTTTCGAAGCCAGTAATCTGTTAGAAATTGATTACATCTTGGACATAATAAGAGAAGGCCTTTCCTTTTTTATGTCCAAGCCCCCAATAAGTAGGCCTAAATGTAATCTTTGACATAAAAAGGAATTGGGGGTGACCACCATGAGGGGGTGGACTTGTGTCTTAATTAACCAATCAGTTTTTAAGGTATGAGATGGGCAGTTTAATTGATAACGTTTAGTATAAAAATATGTAAACTAAAATCTAGGAGAAGACGAGAGAGAGAGAGAGAGAGAGAGAGAGAGAGAGAGAGAGAGAGAGAGAGATTATGCTTGTACCACGAAACTTTAAGTGTATCAAAGTATAATCTGTTGAAGTAGCAACATGAAGTCGTTTCATTATTTTCCGTGTGAAGAATTTAAGACATGGAACCTGGGGATCTCTGTAGCAGTATTACAGATAGCGATATCCAAAGATGTGAGCCCATTGTGTCCAACCCATGGGGTTTTACTATAGAGAGTCATTTAATGTAATTTGGGGCCCCACAACTGGTTTCTTATTAAAGCACTTTTATTCTAGATGCACATACTCCAAATGATGTTGATGGGCGGTCATAGAATTATATATTTTAATATTTTAAAGAACCACACCATACTGCAGTTGTTTGTCTTTAAACTGAGCTAAAATATTTAAATGTTACCAAGAAAATATATTGTTACTTTGTATATTTCACAGTAATTACAAAAAAGTGTTTGTTACATAAAAAAATTTACTGTGTAAAATTTTAATAACTCGTAATTTAATTTATTTTTTCCTTATAGCACTACTACAACACGTGTGGTCATTTATGATCTTTCATGACAAAAATATAGGAAATTATTATAAGACACCTTACGTAAGTCTTCACAACTAGAATTTTTGTCCCACAAAGCTTCAATATTAAAAAATAACTAAAAACCCTATAATTACCTTCAAGTTTAGTACCTGTATCAGCAATAATCAGAATTATGTGCAGATTGAAACCCATAAAAACGCTTAGTTTTAATTCTACAGTTTCTTCAAGAAATGCGTGTTTACGGCTAATTATAAGAAAAGTTTAAAAATACTGAACCTACATAATATGTCAAACACATGATCGATGACGTTGTATTTTAAATGTACAAAAAGCTAGTCATTTACGACCATATATTGCATCCATCCAACTTGCACATGTATCATGATAAACAGATTTACACTTTATTTCTTCACAGACACTAAAATTACATGAACTGCTGTATGTCAAGACAACAAATAAGCTATCTAACTCCTTAATACAAACCCACCCTATTCACCGATATACATGTACATTTTAGTACATAATATTTACACATACACTTAGACAAACACACGTGTGTGTATAATGTAAATATGTGTAATGATTAAAAAATATTAGATGAAATACAGTACTACAATCAGCACATTATTTCATATCCAAATAAGGTTATATATTTATATAAATGAGTCAAGATATAGTATCACAAGTTATAACCAACCGGTATCTTGACATGTTATGGTCAATAGTAATATATACAGTAGGTTATTGACAGGAAAAACAATGTATCAAATATTTACAATTGTATCAAGTTTTATATTTACACAATGCTTTGGAATGCACTTTACCAGTAGTTGTTGAAGGCTAACAATAAGATACAATGTAACAATCCAACTGATTCCTCTTTATATTTTCCACACAAACAGTGTCTGGGTAACAATACGTAAATATTGAATTCTAATGCTAGTAGTATAGTCTAAGAAAAACTGGTTCAACCCGGTACTAATTGCAAAAAAATTGTAGTATGTTTTGTTTTTTGAGTCTTTGAGTGGTCCATGTGATCATATTAAAAATCTAGAAAAATCCAAGTTATGGGATAGGGTTTTTTTTTTTTTTTTTGGCTTTTTTTTTTGGGGGGGGGATTCAAAATGGCCGCCAGCACAGAGATCTACAGTAAGTAGGTGGTTTCAACAAAAGCTTGTGAAAAAGGTACAAAATGCATTAAAGGGATGTTGTGCCACTTTTCACCAAATAAATTAAATGTAAAAAGCCTCAATAAAATACAAAATGACCGCCAAAACTAAAACGGTGGCTACAAATTACCAAATTTGAAGTAAAAATTTGAATAAAAAATTAGCTCAAAAGCAAATTTATGGTCTTTCACCACTTCCTGTTGCAGTACTAGATTGGCCAGGACATAAACACTTTGAAAATAAAATGATATAGTTCTCTTTATCCAATTTATGTACCAAAAAAATTTGCCTGAGGTAAACGACATTATTTCCTACTTAAAATGTATTTCCAACCTGTCCCTACACTTTATTCAATGTCTTATTCCATTTGAATCTTAGCAATTATGGCTTCGGGACAAGGCTCATTTGCTCATGCCCTTTTTTTTACTTGATAAATATGATAAATATCCCTCCTTGTTTTTTGTTTGTTTGTTTTTAATTTTATATTTAAAAAATCAGTATGCTTTTCAAATGTCCATGCATTTGTTATAGAAATTAAGATGATAGTGCAGTTTGGATGAAACCCTTACTATTCCTGCCAGGATTACTCAGAATTTAACTTAATATGGACCTAACTGTGCCCTTGATGGCTGTTCTGCAAATGGCGCAATTCCTCAAGGCAGGTGCACACTGGACACAGGCGACAAGATGGCCGCACGGCAGAAATACCACGCTTACTTCTTCGTCCATACAGATCTTACAGATGCGCTCTTCTTTCAGTCTTTTGTTTTCCTCAAGCAAGGACTTGGTCTCTGGAATACAATTGGTAATTATTTAATAACAGTTGATGATAATGATATTACATTAAAACAAGGGAAAGGACACAAATAAACCCGCTTGTTCTTTTATTTTTAATCATTTATCAAGTGCTTAGGGATGTTTCTTACTGTAAACAACATAAACAATATATACCTGAGAAAGTAGCCCTGTAGCAGCATTTCGAGTGCGTTGATGGTTTAAAAATGATAATGATATGAACTGTTTGGTTGAAAAAGAAAAAGAAAACGACTTTATTTTCAGAAACTTTTGCTTTTTATCTTTATGCCTATTTTCTGAGACGTGCCAACTAATTCACGATAACTTAATATCTTCTACCCGCATTATGAGTGTGACCTCGATATTGGTTTAATATCACTGGGCAATGTTTTTTATCCAGTGCGCTGTTACCCCAAGAGCGACCTAACCACTTTAACGCGCTTCGTGGAGTATTGATATTTTATAAGATATAGCATAAGAATATCACTATCATCACGAAGTATTTTAACCAAATAAGCAACATCAACAATCAATATGTATACGGTTATCTTGCCGTTCTCAGTTTATGCAATGATACCAGTGGTTCACGGGGAGTTAAGCAGTGAAACGCACATTTTTCTAACCCTCTGTGTCTTACTTTACTGCGTCCTCTCACCACCTAGCCGTTGAATGGCCTTGATGGCCATGACCTTGACCCATGCACCGCGAGCTCGGCACCCTGGCTTATCAAAGACGTTATCAAAAACGTGTTAGAGTAGGACTGGGTCTCCATGGCTAGATGGATCTAACTGGATCGACCAATCTCCAGGGGTTTCTTGCTAAATTGCTTTAAACTTAAACGGCAATATGTTTGGTACGCCTACTGAAGCTGACAAACGATAGTTAATTACACTCTAACAGATTCAGTGGGCGTGCAAGGCATCAAAGCGGCTTAAGTTGATAGCAATTTTGTGAGAAACCCCTTTGAGATAGATCGACCCAAAGTTAGTACCCCAGTCTCTGGGAATGATCTCTAGAAGTAACTCATGACCCACTATATATGGCACACATCATGCATGCACAGTTCAAAAGCCAAGTGCTCACCCTTGTCGTCACTTTCCTTTGGTACCGGAGCATCTTGCTTCTTCTTTTTCTTTTTATTGTCTTTTTTAGATTGTTTCTCTGAAATGAAATAAATGTTTATATCCAGTCTGAACAGCTCTGTCGTTTGTAAAGATGACCCAGGTATGCCAGTTTTCATCCATCCACCAATATCTGGTTAAAATGTTTACCTAAGCACCTATATATAGTTATTTCACAATCACCCAAATTAACAATGTTTCTGAACTTTTTGGTCTAGTTTATTAAACTCTGTGTATACTTTATGTAATCTAACTGCAAGTAATCACAGGGGAGTGTTGTCAGCTCAGACAAGTACCCGAATTATGCGTTTGAGATGTTTTCTGGTTGGCCGCAGATGCTGGTACTTCAGCCAGAGATCGGTTTAGTGGCTGTTGACCAGGCTCCTCTTGGGGAATAACTGCCACCGCCGCCGCACCTTGCGCCGTCTGCCGGGTCATCTCATCCTCAATATTCAAAACAGCATCTAGTAAACTCGCTGCACTGGGGAAATCATCTCCAGTATCCCTCAATCTACGTTCGATCGCCTGACGGACTGTGTTTCGACTGAAACCCATATCTAAGACCGCCTGCACTGTCGGGGTGTCCAGGCGGGCTTTGATCTCCCGGGCCTCTACGTGATAACTGCCTGGCGCACCTGTACACAGACAGAATTCTGATCACATGATGAGACATGCTCAGCGATTTCTTTATTAGCATAAGGTGATACTGCTCCAAGTTGTTGAATGTTTGATGGGGTCCAATCATAAACAGTAAGGACTTATTTGTTCTTATACCGTACACACATTTAGCAATTCTGTTAATTCTGTGAAGAAAAATACTGTGTGTCGCTGTTGGTCAAAAAAACAATGGGTAACTAACCTTGTGCACTTCGTGCAAGCGCTTGAGCCTGGGGAGGTTAAATTGAGTAAAGTAATGTTAACCGTGAAAAAATTTTATAAAAAAGCATAATCAAAGTATATGGCAGTTACTAAAACGGTGTGGAGATTTACAACCAAAAGACAATTCATTTTGTCTTTCCAATCTTCCAATTCTTTTTGTCTTTCATCAAGTACATTTATAATGTGCTTATCATGTTCGTCACGTAAATTATCTTGATTGACGATGTCCGCGGTATTAAAATGAAAATCAAACATCGCCTAATTCTCCACGTTACAGCAATTATTTAAACATCATCTAGCGTAAAACGTTTGTTTATACCTTTATCACATTAACTGATGTGATTAAATATGTGCTTACCGGGTTGTTTGGCGAATTTCGTTCTTTAATCATTTGAATAAAAGCATCCCCCTGGCACTGACGAAGAAAAACACAACGAGGGAACCAACGCGCATGCTCGACCCAAGGGTCGTCTTGAGGTTCCCAATTCCTTAGTCCACCGTCACAGAAGAAACATTTCACGTTGTCACCAAAGCCTGTTATTAACAAATTAAAAAAAAAACATTGGGTTGTAACCATTAACTGAATGGGTCCTGTTACACCTCTAATCAAGATTACAACTTGTCCATATCATTTTAAGGGATCACTGTAATATTAACTCCAACCTAAAAAAAAAAAACATCGCGGGAGATGTGGATTGCACGTTGAAATACACTGTCATCTGTACATACTACACATAGTGTGACTTTGCCTTAATATATGGGATGCTGGTGTGCTTTAAAAAGTGGCGATATAGCTTATGGCACATGTGTTACATTGAGTGGTCTCGTTTCCTTTATATTTGGCAAAACCAACGGATATATAAACTTATTAATAATTAATAATTTAATGAATATACTTCATTCAAATATAAAGTGGACTTACCAGCGTAAAAAAACCCGGCACTGGCAAGAGTTTCAGGGCACGGAATACGAGATGGCGGCCAGTTAACAAAGGTCTGAACTCTGGCGTGTTCAGTGGCGTATCTCTCGTGTCTAGGTCTCGCTGTTAGTATTCCCAGTGTGGGTCCAGTTGTGGCATCTATGGGGTGAAAACATGGGAAGGGGAGTTTTAGGGATCGACTTGATAAATAAAGACAGTTTAACGACATTTAATATCTGTGGTTGTCGTCATTGCACTAACATGCATTCTAGATGTAATAATTTAGTAATACACCATGAACCACGACACGAGCAGAAACAATTGGCTGCGCTGTGCTGCGTGCTGGGAAACGACGTGCACAAATCCAAGAATACACGGAACAGAGCATGACACGCTCGGGCCTTAGGGTAATACAGATATTACAGAGTTCATTATTTTAGTTTCGAGTTAAGCTTTGCTAATCGCACTTTTTCTATTACGCATTTCACGACTGGAAATTTGTTAAGGGTACAAATTTCATATTGTATCAACATTGGGTGTCTCGTCTGATTCAATATACATTACATTGTACCACATGAATATGGTTAATAAGGTATTTGACATTTTGTCCTTGCCGTAGCGTTTATGAGGATGTGTTAGAATTATTGTTAACTCAAGCTTACTCTCGGATCCTGTTGCGCTGCCTCCCACAGCGTGACTTTGTGATTCCGACACAGCAAGAGGAAGAGCTGTGCCTGGTTCTTCCACAGGAATGTTCCCGACTTCCAGTCCTAATACGAACGGACATGTGGAAAGATATTTGCGGTGTTCCTGTATTGGTTGGTCACCTAAAACAAATGTCAATGCCTGACAGTCCGCGATCCATTTCATCATTCTGACGCTGAGGGTTATTGTGGGTTTTAAGACCAACAACCATGAATGCTTTGCTAAAACCAGCATTCAATTTACAAATCAATGTTTAAATCTAATCTGTCATGACAACATTGCTTCAGTTTTAAATGTTTACAGTATTGTTATGATAAATTTTGGAATTTTCACATTTATACATATGAATGGCCCTTGGACATACAGAATCACGGTAATAGCGATAAAAAAAACACTCATACCTAGTTCCCAATTCCTTAATACCCCCTCACAGAAGGCACACTGTACTCGGTCCTCCGTGCCCACGTAGAAGAAACCAGCTCTTGCCAAGTCTTTGGGTCGGACACTGTCTCCACTGGGCCAGCTGACAAAAGTCGCTAGGCGGTCAGACTCATTTCTCATCCGCGAAGGGACACATGTAGGCAGATGAGATGTATTTGGTGGAGTTAAGGGGGCAGATGTGTTCTCCTTAGAGCGTACACCAAAGGCAACCCCAGAATGAGTGATCTGCGACGTGGCGACCTCTGCTGAACTGATGCCCAGTGACCTGGATAGTGCCTGTTGGTTTGACAGTAGTGAGGACGCATTGTCACTATGGTTACGACGTGTAGACCTTGCTAAGTTTGGGAAGGGATCATCATTGGCGCCAATGTTGCCAATGTTGCTATTAGAAATAGCATCATCTGTTTGGAACAAAGGAACATTCTTTGTGTCAGTCCCTTTCATAAGTGGGCAATCTGGGAAGAAATTACGATGTCGCACGAATGGATTGTCTCCATAGGTCCACTCCTTAAGTCTCCCTCCACAGCTAAAACATGCTACCTCATCACTGTTTCCAGTGTAATGGAACCCTGACCGTGCAAGTCGCGTTGCTCTTACCGGGACCGAATTGGGCAAGTCTTTAAAACTGGACAATCGAACTGCTTCGTAGCAGTATTCTTCCCCCATACGAAAGTGTGGACCTTGTACCGATTGACGAAAGTACTCGTGAAGATGTGCTGGATATAAAAGCATGCTTGTCCATCTTGGGAAGTAGTTTGTTGAATACCGAAACAAATCAGCGTGAAGAAAGACTTGTCTGTAGATATCGGGATCGTCCTTCTCGTCCGCATTGCCTTTCGTAGTTTTATATTGTATCTCTTCTTTCTGTTCTATTCTATTAAAAAATACTGCAACTTCATTCTGCACTGAAGATGTCAGTGTATGATGATCAAATTCTGGATCAGTTGTCACTGTGTTATCTTGTGCACTCACTTTTGTTAACAATGTGTAATCTGACTGGTACGTATGATGACAAGAAGTCTTCTGATTCTTGCTTTCGAAGTTCTCCGACAAACATGTACTCCAACCCTTTCCATCTTTCACTGAATTTAATGTATTCAGGGGACTGCTTATACCAGGGTACTGAACCAAGTGATTGCCAGTGAATGAGAAGTACTTCAGCTTACTGGTGTATTTCACACCTTGGCTCAGTTCACGCACGGCTTCACGGACATCCTGACATGTGTCATACTCTGTATTATCTTCGCCCCTGGGACATGTACACCTGCTAGGCCCACACCTGGATCCCCACACGAATACACAGTCCAGTACCAGATGCTCCAGCCCTGGCACATGGCGAAGGTTCCTCCCCAGAAGTTGTACACCCACGGCACTAAGAGGGGGAAATCTAATATCTATATGAGTCAAATCATGACTGGTATTAGGTATTCCCCCCAGTCGAGGAAGTGGGACTCTTAGCATTATTGATCCTGCATCTATTTCCTTGGTTACGCGAATGTACTCCAAGTGTCCAATCTGTTGGATCACCTGGCAGTCTTGAACATTTATGTCTCTGACATCCAGATGTAACAGTTTTCCAGGGTTTGGTATTAATAACAGTGCTCCACTACAATCTTTGTCTATTTTAAGTGTTTGAAGATTGGGAGCTTTAGATAAGACATGATTTAAGGCACATATGTTACCATCACAAGTATGAAGTCTATTCTCCCAAAATACCACTACTAGTTCATGGAACATGTGACACTTACTGAGTAAAGATAATGTTTTGTGATGTGTTTCACAACTATCAGTATATGACCACAAATCAACGATGATGGCATTCAAACCAGAACATACATGTATCTGGGGACTGCACATACTGTCCCACAAGACCTGCTGGAATTTGGAATCAGAGTGCTCAAATGATTCAGGTATGTAAAGTTCTGTGTGCCAAGAGAAAAGCTCAGGGGGCAGCACTGTTTCCTGGGGACATTGGGCGTACCAGTGTTCTAGAAGGAGATTATTACACCAATCTCTGCACGTGTCATCAATGCCATAGTCATAGTCCATGTACTTATGAATATAATCTTGTTTGTCATCTTTGTCGTGAAGACCTTTACCTCTGCGCAGCACTTTGGTAGTTGCTTCCCTTGATAACCCACACAAAAAGCGTAACACAAAGCTCATGTCATAGAGTTTGTATGTGGTGTTTAAGTTTTCTAATAACTGATCTAAATTGTTACTATCATTTTCGTCTAATTTCCTCGCCAGGTATTTTGCAGCAAAAAACTCCTGAATGGTTTTGTGTGGAAAAGTTACCTCCTGTTTAACATCAAGGTTACTGTGAACCTTAGACTTGCTGAGGAGGCCTAAACTGTACAATTCGCTGATATCTGGAATTGTTTGCAGGTCTTTTTCATCAAATATGAGACCCCCATCTGGTTTCACCAGTCCATCGTAAGCTAGCTTGCCAAGGCTGATAAATGTTTGTTCTTCAAGTTTTTGAACACATGCAGACTGTTCCATTTCATCCTGTGTCTTGATGCCATATCTTCGTCTTAAAAGCAACTGTATAAATTTCTTGTATAGCAATGCATATGAAGCTGGGAGTGGATCTGTCCAGGCATAACTTTCTTGACCTTCTTGCCACATAAGACACATGAAAAGTAGAAGTATTGGGATCTTCACCAGGGACATCAGCTCTTTTTCGTATAAGTAGTGTACAAGACCCATTTTTTGATCTTCAAGGAATTTAGCTACGTATTCATGTATGTTGCTATTTGTTAGCCCAGTGATTTCATATGCACCGTCTATTATTCGTCTGTCCATCAGTTCTTCTGCCTTCCATGGACGTGTAGTGATGACGGTGCACACATTCTGGTATCGTCTTCGGTAAATGATGTCTGTGATTTCTTTGGAAGTGTTGATATCATATTCATCATAGCCATCAAAGACCAACAGAACATGGTCACTGTCATAGTCTAGAGCTTGCATGACTTCATCTGTCACTGCTTGCCTATTTTCTGCAGAACAAGTGATTTGTGTTTCTATTGCTTCCTTCAGTGTTTGACCAAGCTGAATGCTGCGTAGATTTAAAATTAAAAGATGTTCAAATTTCGAAAGTACTACATCACATTCTCCTAAAACAAGTGTGGCGTTTGCCCAGTCTGTTGCCATCTTCTGTGTAAATGTGGTTTTGCCGATGCCTGCTTTTCCTCTGACCAATATTCTCTTTGTTTTCTTTCCAGGTTTGATATCTTCAAATATTGAGGTATAGGACGTGACTGTTTTGGAGCTGGTGCCTGTGGATTTTCTGTCTTCTTGTACCCACTGTAAATTAACGTATGCCTCGTCTATGTGCACTGTATCGTCAGGGTCCCATGGAAGGCGCTGTATCTGGCTCATGTGATTGATGTAGAAATTTGCTATTTGATTTTTACTACTGGAATCAGTTGACTTTTCTGCTAACAAATCTGCAAGTTCTTTTTTATTGTGTTTTCTCAACACCTCAGCAAAGGTTCCAAATGCACGAGGACCACATTTTGGTAGAATGCAGAGAAATTCAAAAGCTTGTTCTTGTTCTGTGTTGTGAGCCATTACCTTTTTTGCATTGCCTTCACTGAGGATTCCCCTGTCTACCATGTCTGGGACAATGTCTTCAACTTGGAGATCTTTTATCAGCAAGGGACCCATTTGTACCAAGAGGTTTTTGTGTGTTGGATTCATTACAGGTGCCTGCAAAATTGAGATAAATCCAAGTTCTATTTCAGCAAATATGCGTAGTCAGATATCAATATGTACAGAGCTCTAGGCAAATGTGCGCCACACCCAATATCTTTTTTTCAATAATCATATATCAATGAATAATGATAAAGTACAAAAGGTTATTTCATTAGAATATGCACACAGACGATTGTTAAGATGTTTAAATATCTATATTTAAGTATTTAAGTATTTATTTCTAAGGGTTAAAGATTCGTGTAAGCATTTTATCAAAATGTAAAGTAAAAAGCATGGTAACGAAAGAATATGAATGTACCTTAGAGTAGGTGTCTGGTTTGGTTGTAAGAATTCCGCTAGCTGCAAGAGAGAAAAAAAAACAATGTTGCCTGTGTTTCAGGTAAATAAGAGCACTAACCTCAACACATATATCACTTGTCCAGAACACATTTTTTTCACTCTAGGCGAAGTGATATTTTAGCCCGACACATGTAGGGCATTTTCCAAACTGATGGTTTTCTGTGACCACAATAACTACAACATATTAATGTAAATAAACAACCACAGTTTGCACACTATGCATTGATTACTATGATTATTTTTAAATATCTTGTCGTCTAAATTAATGCAGATACTGGTCAGTGTTGGGCTAATTGACTTGTTAATAAAATTGCTCAAGGAGCAAAGCAACTTGCAAAGCTGTAAATTTAGCTTGCTAAAATACATGTATTTTTGACGTTGGTCGCATGTCCTCCTACATTTTTTTTTTCATTTGGTATCTTAACATACACATTCTGTAGTCTCAAAACGTGCACCAATAAAGCAAAATCCATAACATATTATCTAATCACATCAATATTGTACAAAATACTACTGTGACATTCCTATCACTGTATTGAAGACAAAGATGTTCTGAAAAAGATCCTGGAAACATCTATATGACTGTAAATATTGTGAATATCTCGCATGCGCACACATATTATTGAACTGTACATGTACCTGCAATAGTTCCCACATCAACACTTGTAGGACTAGACTCTGTAGTCTGTGGAATTTCCTTTTCTGTTGATGATGAAGGCTTAAAAAGTTGGGATGAAGGCACAGAAGGGTCCTCTTGCGTGTCTGACATCACTGTTTGAAAGAAATACACAACATGGTACTTTGGAAGAAGATTAAATAATCAATAACAGCGGCAAATATTTCATTATCCCAAACGTAGAAAAATTAATCATTATTTTGTAAACAAAACTTATTTCTAATATTCATTTCATAAGAATACAATTATAAAGTTGTTATCTTTATGTAGATGTATAACAAAAAAAGTGGGACGAGAATGAAATGAAATAAACTATAATGCTAATTTATGTCAACCATTAGTAGAT